CTCTCTCTGAAAGCCAAACGTTCAGACGTGGTGGTTGTTGCAAGTGATTTCAGTGCACATATGGGTAGACTGAATGAGACAGAAAGACACTTAGGTAGCACTCTCGGAATCCTGACAACACAAATTTCACACATAAAGAAAGACACTGCCTGACGTGGCGTCCACCAAGCTCAACTCAGCGATGGACACAGATAGACAACATTGCTACCAGTTATCGATGAAGATGATCGATGGGAGATTGTCGCTCCTTCTGGAGTACGTGTTCGGATAGCGACCACGCGTTGGTTCGAGCACGTATATGCTTGCATTTGGCAACAAAACCATTACGAGTGCAGCTCAACAACGAAAACATCGCTTTCAGTGAGAAATCGGTTAGACAGTTATCGGAACAGAACACTATCACTCATCCAGAAGAAGTTATGCTATGAAAGCAGCGCTGAAGACCGTAGCCGACTCCGAAAGAGTGGCTAAAGGGAGCCAGTGGATATCAGCACCTTCTTCCGAACTAATGGATGCACGTGAACGCATCTCTGCAGGCTCTGAGTACGACGAAAAGCGAGCGCAACTTAAAAGTAGGCTGAGAAAAAGTCTATGCAACGACCACGAAAGGTGGTGGGCAGAGAAGGCCAAAGAGATGGAAAAAGGAGCGGCGATAGGTAACAGTAGACAATTATTTAGACTTATCAAGAGAACTGAGGCGAAAAGGTCAATGGTTAGTGAGACTATGGTTGAGAAGGATGGGTCTGCGATTCACTCGCAAAGGAGATGTTTGGAAAGATGACCAGAACATTTCGAGGAACGGTTCGACTAGCCACCAGCTACTATTGCGTTGCCAGCTATCCAGTCAGATCCTGAATGGAACATTGAGACAGGTCCCTCAACACCAGCAGAAGTTGAGAAAGCGGTAAGTAACTTGAAACGAAAAAGGGCAGCAGGACCAGACGGACTAACTCCTGGGGTATATAAGGATGGTGGTAGAGTGCTCTTTGTCAGGTTAACGGAAGTGTTAACTAGTATATGGGAATCAAATATGATCCTTCCTGACTGGTTTAAATCACTGAATACCCCATTCTTCAGGAAAGGTGAGAAGCCCTTTTGTGATAACCACAGGAGAATCAGCCTGACAAACATAATGTCTAAGATTCTAGGTCTTATAATCACTAAACGCCAGAGTGGAGTTCGGGAAGAGAAAGCCCAAGAAAACCAGGCAGGTTTCAGACCTAGCCGTGGGTGTATAGACCAAATATTCAGGCTCCGTCAGGTTCTGGAACACAGGATCGCTTGTCGACGCCCAACACCAGCTGTATTTCTCGACCTTAAGGCGGCATTCGACTCAGTTGCTCGAGAAGTCTTGTGGTCATGTCTCTCACTGAAAGGTGTTCCAAGTAAGTACACTACCTTATTTAAGGTTCTTTACTTGAACACTTGTGTGCGTTTTAGTAGTATAGGTCTTTGCAGTATGGGCCGCATACCGTGTTGCGACCACGTGAGTAACGCAGAAGTCAGGAGTAGAGTTTAAGGGAGAAGAGGTTAGTCAGTTAACACGGTTCTGAACCTTCATTGACTGAGATGGTTGGGACATGTGTTACGCATGCCGTCACCGATTACCTCGTCACACATGTTGGCCGGAGTAGGTCCAGGCTGGAAGAAGGCTCGAGACGGCCAGACTAAAATATGGCATCAATGTATAAAGTATTTGACTGCTAGTTTGAGCCATGTGGGGCGATGCAGACTAGCCGGTTAGGGTCAATGGGACAAGAGAAATCAGTGGTTGGAGACTGTAGGTGATATGGATCAGAACCGATGTCAGTGGCGAAGATGTATACACACATTATCCTCATCATAACATTATATCGAATCTCACCATTTTCTCGTTCTTCCTTTCTCTCTTTTAGTACTTTATATTTCTCTTGACTGAATTTTCTTTTCTTCATCTTCCACTTCACTACCCTTTTACTTGATGTACAGATACGAGCTGTGGCAACTCGGACCGTTACGTAGTAACGCCTGGTCCTATGTTGATTTGGATGGATGGATCGACAAGTAGGCTAATAGAACATGAAGAGGCAAACTTCAAACGGCATCCGATAAGGCGCCATAATGAACACAACTTATAGTGACTAGTGCGGTTCACCTATTACTACTTTGGTCACATGACCCTAAGGCCCGAGTTTCGCGCGCGAGATAGCTTCCGTGCGGCTGTGACTAATTGGTCTAGGGAGCGGGTACGAGCACCGCCCCCTCCACCGAGGTTTTGGCAGCCAGGTAGTATCACTAGCCTTCACAATAGGTGTAGCTCACTACCTAGTGCATGAATGTGCACAAAGTTGCTGAGGGCATTCAAAAAATAAAATGAGATTGTGTCACAAGCTTCTATTCCGCAATTATGACAACTGTGCGATGTTTGCTTTTGAAGTCGTACAAGTACTCTGCATCCAATGAAATCAAAATGACCATGTGATCCCAACAATTCTCAGAACGGCATTTTGGGGGAATAGCCTTCTAATAGACTTCCAACATATGGAAGGGTTGCTTGGTAAAATAAGGGTTAGAGAATGGTTCTGTAACAGGATTTTCGACAAGCACTAGGTCACACCAAAAACGGGTAAGTTATTTTAAATAATTTTTTTACCGAAAATACCATAACCGGCACAAACTGTGACTATTATAACCCAGATCATTGTCACAGATGACACGGTAGTCTGGACGAACAGAATTTTGTAAGTTTTTCAAATTTCCCCAGCCCTTAAACTGTCACAAAGAAACCCACTAGTTAGAACTCAAGGTGACAGAAACCTGAATACCTTTGAACCAGCTTTTCCAGTTCAAACCTCTTGTACTCAACGAAATAAATGGTGCTGTCACATCTAATCGCCTAGAAGTCTCCCCTTCGATCAGACGAAGTTGAAACTACCAAATGACTTTAAACAGTGCTTTTAATACCTTAAGGTTTATGACCAAACGCTGTGCCATGCAAATTTAACAAAATAGTTTAGTGTCCAGAAACTATTTCATTTGAGCGCATGAGTGAGAAAACCAACTGTTGGCAACAGTACACTGTTACATATCTGAGATGCGACAAAAGATGTAGATTTCAACCATGCAGACAAGGAAGTTGGCACTTTACGCGCAACCATGAACAGTCGTCGGTGGGATCACATACATACTCTGAAAACTATAAAAGTCAAACAAAATTAACATAGGCTAGATGTAAGAAATAAGAATCCTATGAGGCTCCTAGTGACCAAAACAACTGTGATACTGCCAGTAGACAAAGGAGGAAAATTAACCACGAATAAAACAAACTGCATAAGTAGAAAACAAGAATTCCTGAACGATGAAAGCGGTAGTCGGTCACTGGATACAAATACATTCATGCAATTGGACTAGGCCTAAAGTAAACTACCTACATCGCAAAAGAACAGTGATAGGTGATAGCAAACAAACAATTTAAAAAATGCTGCATCGGTTCTAAAGCCAGGTTTCTGAACAAAACTAAGGGACTCAAAATGAGAGATAAAGAACGATTCTTTTCGGTATAGCTTCACTTCTAAAATTTACCGAAATCTATTCTTGAAAAACCAACAGTCTTCGCAATAATGACCGGAACCCCTTACAACATACACAGAATAGTCGTACTTTACATTGGTAAGTGCATGAGTGGCTAAAGTCTGAGTTCGCCTCTCAGCTGTTATTAAAAGTGATGATAATTATTCGAAATGTTAGTGCAGATAGGGACCACTGTCTCCAGCCAATCAGCATCAGGCAAGGTTGAAAATGTACTGCAAGGATAGTAAATATATTCACAAGTTGAGCTGTGGTTCACTGGTTTAGGAAGATTTCCAACGAATGAATCATAGGTTCTAACAGTTCCCCCTACCGAAACTTGGGCAGCCAGGTAGTATCATTAGATTTCATAATAGGTGTGGCTCACTGCCTCTTATAAGAATGTGCACAAGGTTGCTGAGAGTACTTCACTTCTGCTTTGATACTCGGAAACGTGAAATCCTCGAGCCAACGTTAATCTGTTAAGAGTATCATGGGAGAATTTCACAATTTGTCACTGGGATTTTGGTGAATTTAAACTAGTTTCTGAGCATTTATTCACTAAGATGGCTGTCAGTACTCTCATTTTCAGAGTCATATACCACTCATATACTTATTATTTCCCACGCTTTCGTGGAAAACACGGTCAAAACAATGTGCACACAGGCGACTGAAGAATAAACTCAAAAGAAATAACTGTTCAATAAGAAATTCACTTGGGAGATGAACTAACGCCGCCTAGGTACTGGTAAAATAATACTTCGAGTTTCAATTATGAGAAATGTCCCTTAACTCACAAAATTCCATGAACCAACTGCGAAGAATCACCACAGCCTATAAAGTCCTTGAAGGCTGTGGACTCACTGTGTAATGGAAATAGCCTGAGGATGAAATGTTGCATTTCTGCCACAAGAATAGTCTACTCTGCCAAATCAATCGTCTCTCTACACAATGTCGAGAAGCTATCAGGGTGAAATTGCAACTGCAGAAAATGGATCTAATTTGTAGCTAACACTGTGTCGATCAGTATCAAAACAGCGTAATTGACCGTCCGAAGCCAGCTGGTTCATCATCTGTTGTGACTGAGATTCTGCTGATTAAATTTCTCATTCTACCACGAATTGCAGAAGCCTTTCGTCAAATATCCCCAGCTCAGAGTTTTGTAAACCAAATCAACTAGTACTTCATGACGAAAATTCCTGCTAGCATGCTAAGGTATTAAGTGTGAGCCACCTTCTTAAGTATTCTCAGTAAATCATTTAAAAACAAGAGCAGTAACTACGCTGAAGATTACCTAAGTAACTTTAGTTTTGAAGGTAACGTGTATCGCAGACTACCTAGGAAACCACATTACATCTATGACAGAATGTGTCTGAACAGCTTCGAACCAGATAAATGGAATGTAATAACATTTATGTACACACTTTACAGGTAAATTAAATGAAGTGACTTACTCTGAGCAAAACCAGATGCTGAGGAGGTAACATCACCTGCAGTTACAGTTAAAGCATAGCTGCCAGGAACAGGGTCTATTCTTCGTTAAGTATGCAGGTTAATTTACCTTTATGATTCAAGTGCAGCACAACTTCCAAAGTATTCATGCTTTCAAAGAATATTTCAGAAGAATAATCACCAGATAGAGATGGTGTATCATTTGTTTTACGACGACTGACAGTTATCTTTTCTCCATCACGCTCCCAAGAAAATTCGACAGCAGACGGACTATTAACTCCTTTAATTTCGTATTTCAGTATTACAGGGACCGAAACGTTCACTGCGCGCTTGCTGTACGAAAGGCCTTCCAATTTCACCGCTGACACATATGTATCAAGCTTTCCGTGGCTCGTAGAACGCACTAAATCGCTGTAATGAGGAAGATTCTACTACCTTCTAGGCCTCCGCATACTCCAATAAATAAAGCGACTAAACACCACAAACGGCTCAACATGCTTCAAACTGACCGCACCTATTGGTGACCTCAGGTCTTTTCTGTTGACAGTCGATTCTCCATGCCGCAGAAGCAGTAAACTGGAATTTCCTTAGGCTCTGGTTGTCTGGTACTATAATTATATCCTAAGTGTTCAGGACTGTTTACCCCTGCTTTTCCCCAAGGTTATGACCAAAACAAGACGGCAAACAAGTATTGGTCAATCGTCGTGACTGTCGTCCACCGATGACTGTCCGTAGACATGCACCCAGAACATGCTTTTCCATCAGTCTCACTGACTTCATGAAGGATATCCGACTTCCGTTTGAATATGTTTGGCAATACAGTCAAACTGCCTCTTAAGGAAGAGAACTTCATAGCAAACATGTTCGTACCTTTAAAGGAGCAGCTGGTACGAATATTCATAAGAGCTCTACCCTGTTCACTCACTTTAGAACGGATGTTCTCAAAAGCTGTACTCGTGACTCGGTTCTCCGAGTGAAGTGCTACAGTGCCTTAGATTGTGCGTGGCATGATACACCATGTGGTATCAGTCTGCATACATGACGGAATCACGAATGCCATATTCAGATTCAGATTTGGATTTCAGATTTGTTGTTTAAGGGCAAAAGGCTGATCCTTCTTTAGCAGGTTGCTGTGATTGTCCAGTCCTTTTTTGAACAAGTCAACTGATGACCCGGACACCACTTGTTCTGGGAGTCGGTTCCAGGTGCTGATTACTCGACGTCAGAACCAGTACTCTGCTGAGACTACATCCGTTCCTTGCTTTTTATACTCTTTCGCTATGTCATCTAATGTGTTCCTGCCAAGTGGGAAGGAAAAGCTAAGATACATCAGGTCCATAGTCACTTCTTAGAATCCTGTACAGCATAATTAAATCTTCCCCCTATCTGCGGTAGGACAAAGGGAAGCAGTTCAACTCTCTAAGTCAGTCCTTATAAGTCAGGTCGGCCATTGCAGGGATCATAAGAGTGGCTGCTCTTTGACCTCTTCCCAAAGATCTGAGTCACCTTTCGGACGAGGATTTTCCTCACGTGTACAGCTTTCTGGTTTAGAATTAGCTAGGGATGTGTGTAAGAGGGCGAACCTAACACCGCTTGTTTTTGTGAATATCCTGTAAAATGCCGGATGTTCTTAGACTCCGAGCTGCAGCCAATCGACAATATGTCATGGTTTTCAAACCATTACTCACTGTGACATCTAGGTCATCGTGGGTCAGTACTGACGGTAGAGGGGTCCCACCAATATCGTGGGTGTTGCCATTCGTGTGTCACATTTACCTGCGTTGATATTCATCGGCCACTTCTCCGACCAGGCAAACAAGCTGGTTAGATCTGTCTGACATGCACGTATATTCTGGTCATCCCTAATTTCCCGTCAGAGTCGTACATCATTGGCGTACAGAACGACAGGGAATTTCGTGATACTTGGCAGCTCATTTATGCATAGCAGAAATAGCGAGGGATCAAGGACTGTACCTTGCAGAACCCCACTCTCTACCGGCCTCCAATAGAAGACCTGAGAACCGATCCTTACTCCCTATATCCTACCAACAATGGACTCGCTGATCCATCCAAGTAGATCGCCAGTTATTCCAAAACTTTCCACTTTCCCAAGCAACCTGGAATGAGGTACTTTGTCAAACACCTTACTAAAGTCCATGAAAATGACATCTACAGGTATCCGACCATCGTTAGACTTAACCCAACTTCCTCTTACCATCCAGGGCAAGGGAAACTGCTGCGAACGAGACAATACAGTGTCGTATATTTTTCATGCTTCCAGCTCCAAGTTGTGGTAAACAGTGTGAACAACTTAGGGCGATACGCAACCACGCCCTCAAGTCTCTGAGGTTAAAAAACACTAATGGACTGAGCGTATAAAAAACGGCCGTGAATCCACCTGCAAACAATTCAAGCAGATATGAGGTCTTTGCAATGAGGCCCTCAAGAGGGACAAACGTCGGTACCAATCCTAGCTCGCCTACACGCTTTTATGGAACCCCAAATTCCTTTTGTCCTATGCAATGTTGCTCAGTCAAGCCGAGAAAGGAATCCTCGATTGATGGGTTGCAGTGGACTGATTAGTAGTGACCCTGAAGCCACGGATGTTTCGGCTGGTCAATATTCGCAGACCTTTTTGCCGTCGATTGCATATGGAAATAATCATGTGAGTCTTGCAGAAATAGGACGACTGTCATCTACCGGTCTGAGTGTCGGTCAATGCATCGTAAGCTGACAATTTTAGTAAGGGACACGTCTCGGGACCCAGATGAAAGTGATACCACCACCCTTCGTGAAGAAGTCTCATCGCCCATGAGACCCTTCGGTAGACTATTCACTCATTCCCTTGACCATGGTATTGTGTCTGAACATTGGCAGTCGGTTCATATCACACCGATTTCAAGGGGATAGACGAGGCAACCCGACGAAATACAGGCCCGTGACCCTTTTGTTCGTCCCCTCGAAAGTGATGGAATCATTAATTTATAAGGCTTTACGCCACCATCTGATGTTCATTGGGTGCTTCGAACTCCATCCGCGTAGTTTTGGGGAGGGATATTCTTGTGTCACTAACCTACAAACCTCAGTAGGCAGCTTGAATTGCATCACTGGGTGTCGAATTAAAATACATCCCATGTAACTGGATTTATATCAGGCTTTCGATCAAATCATCTACAATTATCTCAGCAGCATTCCGAGGCTAACGGAAACCTGTTCATCGCTAGCAGACTGGTTATTATTATGTTTAGGCGATTGCTCTTGAAGGTGCTGGTGAATTCTGTCAAGTCTAAGGAAATGAGACCCATCCAGCGAAGTCCGGCAAAGTTTGGCTTCACAGACCTTCCTATTACCCATTTGTATTCATGACTTGCATTTGCAAGTGGCTTCTGAAGTTCCCCTCTTTACCGATGATGTGAAGCCGTGGACAAAAATGAGAGACGTGGGAGACAGGCTCGTGTTTCAGGACTATTTAATCTAACTTCAACGTTGAGCAGATTGCAGTGGACTAGCAATCACTTCTGAAAAGTGTAAGGCGATACATATGTGGCATGATATGTACCCAACATTCACACTGGACAGCGTACAGCTGACGGTATATCTGACAGAAAATGGTCTTGTCTTCTTATTCTCCCATGACGCGGAATCTCAAGCTAACTGTAACAAAAATGGATTCCGTGCAAATCTGGAACTTGTAACCTTGTGAAGAGTCTTTGGATAGTTTCGTCGCCAGTGTTTCCACGAAATCTTAAACATTTTCATGCAGTTTCCTTCGGAATTTAAGACTTTCGCTCTTCCTCAACTTAAGAAAGGTGAGAAACGCCTGGAACGTGTTCACAGGCATCAAACTGAATCCATGTGTGAACTTAGGTCCAAGCCATACGAGGACCATATGGTAGAATGGAATCCATATCCCAATGAATGCAGACAGCCGAGACGTGGCCTGATGGTGACATACAGCATTTTAAACACTTCAGGTCATCCACCTCAGCACTCGCTTAAACTGAGCTCCAGTGCTAACCCCTGGAAAAACACGCAGAAGTTAGGATTTGAACGTGGTGGGACAGATATCAGGTGTAACGTTTGCTCCCTATGCATTGATAATGCTTGTAATGTTATTGTTGTGGAAACTGTTCGGGCAACATCATTGGGGTCCTTCAACAAACTTGATTTCCATTCAGACAGCATGATCGTACAGACTGAGTCAATAACAGGCAGGTTTTCTTTGTCTTTCCCATTATTCGACTTTAAACCTGGGTCTCCTGACACAGGACTAGTGGACGACGGATTTTAGGCACGAAAGCCAGTCGCGTAAAAGCTTTTTCCATTCCACCACCAGTTGTCTGTAACGATCTAAGGCCATTTGAAATGATACCCCAAAACCGATGGTTTGCATTTCAGAGAAATTCGACATAAGCCTTGACTTCATAGTTTTAGCGGAACTATTCGGTTGAAGACAAACAGTTAAACTTCTATGCCGCCCGGCACATTGTCATGCTGCGGTTTGTTGCTCAGTCACAGTCCCTCTGCATAGGTGGCTCATGCAAAATGATATAACGGTGCGATCCAAAAATACACGATTCCTATGTGGTTGATAAATCGTCACTTCTTGGTCGCATACTTGTGGGTATCCGACAGATATCAAGGACTCGTATTTGGTACGTACATTTACCTCTGTTGCATCCAAAACTTCTGAACTGACAGACCCGCCCCTTTTCATCAATAATAATTATAAACACAGTAAGGTGATGGATAACTAGGGTTTCTACACACATCAGATTTTTACAAGGATGGATCTCATCCTTATTTGGCAAAAGAGAGGAACATGGGATAAATGTCAAATGTGTTATTAAAAGCGGTCCGCTTTCAGTAAAGAGAGATGATAACTTGTACACCACATAATTTAACGACACCAAAAGTTGTCTGATTAAGTGAACCCTATAGGCTCAAAGCAGTGTAATATTTTTACCACGTAAGTTGATTCGACTTCGTAATTAGTAGAAATTAACTTAGTTTTACCTATGGGAAAGTAAACAGATGAGAGTGCAGCGTGAGAAGAGATAGTAGGCATTCCAGTGTGGAACTCTGGAAAATCACCAATGCACTACGGGTCGAAATTTCAGGAAACGTGTGCACTGCAGCCCTGATGTTGACAGCGAAAACCGTTGTAATCCTTCTTTGACTACACAGTGTGATGGGATGAACAACAGCCTTAGTAGCGCAATCTCTACGAACCTGAAAGTCGTGTTTACACCAATTATCAACCAAGTTGATATTGCTTTGGAAAATCCCGCAGATAAAGACTTTCTGTGCCTCAAAATGGGGTAGGATGTATGGGTGAATAAATAAAAGACTTGTTTACTATACCTACTGCTCTGCACAGTACGGAAACCAGGCCAGAGTTTGCCAAAGCTGAGCTTGTAGTTGTCCCATTACGTGTGGCTGTTGTTTGGGAATTAAAATCAAGGGTCAGCGAAATCTGTTCCGGGATTCAGTGAGTTGAATCACTTCCCGCAATTATTGCATGTCTTGTACGGGGGGGCGTAGGATATTAATGGATCAAAGTTGTTGGCTACCAAGGCTGGTATAACCTCTTCACATACGGGCAGAAAAAGACCGAGCACAGTGTTATTTCTAGCGCGGACAATGTCACCAATCA